TACTTCTTCATATATATAAATATGCTCAAAATATGCGCGCAGACGCAGACCAAAATATGAACGGACGGTGGATAGAGTCGATGCATGGACAGACTAGCCAAAGATATAGAAAGAGAAAAGAAGTTGCAAATAGAGAAAGTAGACTGGCAATACATGAATGGATGAGTGGGCGAGTGGATCAGTAGATTTGTGCATAGCTAGACAGAGGAGGAGTGTACATGTATGTGAGTGGATGATTGAGACACATCGATAGACCTTGTGGCTTACGGGGTTTTCGTGTTTGTCACGCCGTGCATGCTGAGGCGGAGAGAAGGGATTAAGGCATGTGTCTGTTTTGGGGATTATTGTTTTGTCAGCGAACGAGCATTGTCTGGTCAAAGCTCAAGTAGGAAGTAACCATGGTCACGCTAATCGATTGACTATCCAATACGTGGCAGGAAAAGTGAGCAGGACTGGTGCGGAGTAGAAGTGGACGTGAAGGAGGATTGGTGCAAAGCAAGAGGTCTCGAGACAACTGAAGTGGTTGTGTGCCGCACGAGAGCGCCGAGAGCAAGTTGGGTGCGGTGGATGTGAAGGGAATCGCACCTGTCGAGGGAGTCGAGGGCGTCGATGGAGCGAAGATTCGATGGTATCGATGGTTTAAGGGTTGGATGGTCTGATGGATCGATAGCCCGAGGTTGTCGCCGATTCGATGGTTCAATGGTTCGGTGGTTCGATGGTTCGACGGTGTCGAGGGTTTGAGGGCTTGAGGGCATCGAGGGTCGGAGGGTTGGAATTTTGGAGGGTTTGATGGTTCAAGGGTTTGAGGGTTTGAGGGTGTCGGTTGTTCGAGGGTTCGATGGTTTGAAAGCCCGAGGCTTTCGCTGATTGGATGGTTCGAGAGCATTGATGGTTGGAAGGTTGGAGGGTTGAATGTTTCGATGGTTCAAAGGCGTCGAGGGTTTGAGGGTTTAAGTGTCCGAGGGTTCGATGGTTCGAGAGTTGGAGATGTGGATGGATCGAGAGTTCGAAGGTGCCGCCGATTCGATGGTTCGATGGTTCTACGGTGGCGAGGGTTTGGGGGTTTGAGGGTTCGAGGGTGCCGATCGTTCGATGGTTTGAGAGTTGGAGATGCTGATGGATCGATAGCTCAAGGATGTTGCCGATTCGATGGTTCACTGGTTCGAGGGCATTGATGGTTGGAAGGTTGGTGGGTTGGATGTTTCGATGGTTCGAAGGTGTCGAGAGTTTGGGGGTTTGGGTGTTTGAGGGTTGAGGGTTCTGATGGTTCGATGGTTCAAGAGTTGGAGATTCTGATGGATCGAGAGTTCGAGGGTGTCGCCGATTCGATGGTTCGATGGTTCGACGGTGTCGAGGGTTTGAGTGTTTGAGAGCTCTAGGACTTTGAGGGCCGGAGGGTTGGATGTTTGGAGGGTTCGATGGTGTCAAGGGTTTGAGGGTTCGATGATTTCGGTGGTTCGAGGGTTGGATGTTTGGAGGGTTTGATGTTGTCAAGTGTTCTAGGTCCTGAGAGTGTCGATGTTTTGAAGGTAACCGAGGCTACATAAAGCGTAAGAAGTATCGTAAATTTTGGGAATATTGGAGCGTATCAGAAGCGGTAGCGAGATCGGGACCATCATGTGGGGCCGAACTGAGAGTCACGCGACAGCGTTTGGCCTCTACTATCACTTAGACACGAAGAAGTACCATATTTTGGCATCTGCCAGCCCAGTTATTTGGCGTGGACTTGTGTCGTCGCGGATCGTGGGCTTCATGTGTCTTTTACTTCTTCACCTTTTCCTTTTCTCCCATCTTATTTCCTCCTCCTCCTCCTCCTTCTCCTCCTTCTCCTCCTTCTCCTCCT